CCCAGACCCAATAGCTTAAGCTCACGCTGGGCGCGTGTGCGTGCATGCCCAAGATCCCAAGAGGAGCATGGAGGAGAAGGGATTGCAGTGTGGCCATCCCCCCTGGGGGGTGATTTCTTGCTCTCTGTCTCTCTGTCTCTGTCTGTCTGGTGAGCACATGCGCCCTATAGCAAAAACCTCTCTAAAAAAAAAGCCAGGAACCAATTCAGAAATGTGTCTTTTAAAATTTTCTTTCTTTTCTTTTTTTCTTTTTTTTTTGTTATTTGCTATAGGGTACATGTGCTTGCTGGAAAGGGAAAGCAAGAAAGCACTCCCCAAGGGGGATGACCACACTGCAGTCTCTTCTCCTATTGAGATTTTGGACGTGCACACAAATGCACACGCCCAGCAATATTGTTCGAGCTGCTGGGTTTGGAATTCAAACCATGCAGTCGGCCATGTGGGATCTAGCCGCCTTAACCACCATGCTGTCTGGCTGGCCCCCGTTTTGTTTCTCTAGGATCACTCTCAGCACCAAAGTCTGACAGGTCCCGGTCTAGGGGTCTGCCATGCGTTCTGAGAGGACAGGGAGAGTGGTGTGTATGCATACGTGCGTCCGTGCATGTGTGTCCCTGTCCATGTCCATCTGCCCATCCCAGTTGGTTTTTCATTCTGCTTTTGTGGCTGCATTTTGAACTGTATATACACGATCTTCCATTGCTCCTGCTTCAGATCTGTCCCCCTGCTTCTCACTCGTGGGAAATGACGAGCTGTCTGTGCCTGGAGCTGTCACACATTTCTAAGCCCCAGCCTTCCATTTATTCTTCATGAATGCATCCAGGCTCCAGGCTGGTGGTGAATAAACACCACCCCGCATCCCCTACAGTTCCCAGCCTTACCAGAGTTTGCCAGAGGCTGACTTGGGGGTCACATCCTTTAGTTTAGACTTTCCCTGGAGAAGAAAATCACGAAGGTCTAACGGCCGCCAAGAAAGCATCAGCAATGTTCTTAGAGAAGTGCAGAAAGGCCAATTAAGTCCATTCCATGGTTTATTAGTATTAGCGGTAATTATTTCTGGCACGCAGCTCAAGGGTGTCTGTGGCCAGCCTGAGCACCGGAAGCCCATGTACAGTGTTTATAGAATGTGAGAGAAGCCCTGGGGAGGTGATAGGAGAGCTCCCCCACCATGTGTCAATCTAAACTCCCCTGGAGGTGGAAGGCTTTGTCCATGAGGGTTTAACTCCTACCTTGCCTTTCGTGGCTGAAGAAAAAGAAAGAAATGAAGACAGCAAGGACCTCTGAATTCCCTAAGAATCTCAAGAGAGCAAAGCAGAAATGAGTTCCACTTGACCAGGCGCCTCCCTTCTCCTCCTAGTACCCACCTCTCCTGTCCCCCAGGGGCCCGATCTTACCTTGGCCTTGGTTCAAGGAGGAAGGTCTGGTCAGCAGTGGCCTTGGAAGCTCCAGCTCAGTTCAGGGTTTTCCAGAGGCTGAAGGCTGAGTCATTATTTTGTGGTGGGGTGCACAAGAAAGGGGATTCAGCCCCGTGTAGAATAACTCTCCCACCAGAATCCAAGTTATGTTTTGTAAGTGAGTTAAAGCCCACAGCCAGCAGCCGGTGTAAACACAGCATGTTGGGACCTCTTGAGGAGCATGTTTGGTAGAGTAGGGGTCCCCCGTCCCAGGGGCACAGACTGGTGCCTGCCCGTGGCCCAGCCGATCCACTGTGCTGCACAGCAGGGCGGGGGTGGTAGGCAAATAATCTGTGTTTACAGCCTCCCCATGGTTCACCTTGTCTCCTGGGCTCTACCTCCTGTCAGATCCGCAGCTTTATTGGATTCTCATGGGAGCCAGAATCCTCTTGTTGTGTGATTGTTTTATTGTGTGTTGCAGTGGGGTAGTGCTGGAAATGGGGTGCACGCGGATCATCCCAGACTAACACCCCCACTCACCCCACACTCCCACCTATGGAGGAATTGCCTTCCACCTGGCTGGTCTCTGGTGCTACGAAGGTTAGGGACTACAGTAGAGAATGCGCGCTAGCAAGTTACAGGAAATGCAGGAAAACGTTTGTGCTTATCTAAGGATATTCAGAAAGCAGCAGTCATTCTTCTTCTCGGAGCATTTCTGCTGTCACAAGGTTTTTCACTACAAGACCAGGAAGCCTCTGGGGTCATGGAGCCTTTGTTGTTCTATGACTGGTGCAAACCTTACCTTTCTGCCCAGACTATAGCCAACAGGACCTTCAGTCCTGACTGGATCAGGAGACTTCCACTTCATCAGATCTGCTTGTTGCGGGGACCACACACCGCAGCTGGGGTCTACTCAGCCATTTGCATTTCATAAAGGGCCTTGGCAGCAACTAGGCCTTCTCATTACGTGGTGTTTTTACACTCTGAGATGAGCTGGAAAGGTTTGTGCGGCCACCCCGCCGGCCACTTGCACCAGTTCTGCCAGGGAGGCACCCAGTGGATAAGAAACCCAGGGGACCTGCCCACACCTTCTGAGCACAGGCCCTCTTCCTCCTGGGGGCTTCCTTCTGGGTGAGCCTTCCCTGCCTTCTGGAGCCTTCTTTTGCTTGGGGTTGTTACGGATTGCCTGGAGTGAGTTGCCTGCTGTGGCCTCCAACACTCCCTAGCTGAACAGGGACTCCTTTGTGAAATTCCTGAGGCAGGAGGGGCCGCCCTGCAGAGCCAGCTCTCTGAGTGGCCAGCAAGGAGGGGGATGTGGTATATTATCAAGTGATAAGGCCTTAGAAAAGGCCAAGGAGAGGAAGGGAAACGCATTCCTGACTGAGATGTGTTTGGGCTGAGAGCCTTGTGTTTGGAGAAAAAGGGAATCTTGGCTGGATGGTTGTGGGGTAGGGGTGCTTCTCTTGGGAGAGGAGGTGACCTGGGCTGACCTATGATCAAATTCCAAATGCCTTTAATTAGTAAAACACTGGGCCATTCAATCCACTGTACACAGATTTACTGAGTACCTACTAGGCGCAGGCTGATACGTTTTCACTAAGGTGGCTTTGTCAAGTGGAGAGTCAAAAAATTCCGAGCTGGATGATTACTGGAGTGGAGGATAGTATTCTCAGAAGGACAGTGAGATATCTGAGTTGAGTTTTAGACGATGTTATAGGGGAGATCAACTGTAGATAATGGACATTAGTTCCTTTAGTGAGGAGGCTGTTTTTTATTATATTTTTTAAAAGTTTATTTACTTAGGGACCAACAGATGGCATAGTGGTTATGTTGCTGGACTCCCACATAGTCAACCATGATTCGAGTCCCAGACCTAGTGGCTTCAAACTCACACCAGGTGCATGTGTATACGTGCCCAAGATCCCGAGAGGAGAATGGAGAAGAAAGGATTGCAGTGTAGCCATCCCCTAGGAAGTGATTTCTTGCTTTCCCTCTCTCTGTCTCTCTGGTGAGCGCATGCGCCATATAGCAAAAAAGATCTCTAAAAAAGAAATGACTTATTCAGAGAGAGAAAGAGAGAGAGGTTACTCTAACAGGGTCTTTATGCTGTGATCCTGCCAGCTTCAGCCAACCTGTATCCAGGCACGTGTGTGCCCAACATGGTCAATGAGACCTCAGGCACAAACCCGGGACGTTCTCTGCGGTTTCAGCATTGTGGGGTATTATGTTACCACTGTGGCATTGTGTCTGGACTGTTTGTTTTGCTTCATTTTAGATTTTTGCCGTAAGGCATGTGCGCTCACCAGAGAGAGACAGAGAAAGAGAGGGAGAGACAGAAAGTAAGAAATCATCCCCTCAAGGAAGATGACCACATGCAGTTCCTTCTCCCCTGTTCTCCTCTCGGGATCTTGGGCATGCACACACACACGTGTCTTGCTTATTTTTCAAGCTTCTGGGTCTGGGACTTGGATTATGCAATCAGCCACATGGAATCCAACACCTTAACTATCATGCCACCTGCTGACCCTGTTTTGTTTTAATCCTAAAGGCAGAAGGGCTTTTTTTTTTTTAACTTTTATTTTTTTAAGATTTTTCACAAGCAAATGGCTTGGAAAGAATGTATTTTAGAAAGATCACTCTGGAAATGTCATAGAGAATGAATGGAGAGGTAGGGAAGACAGTTGGGAAGGCAAACATAACTCTAATGTCTAATTGAGAGGCTCTTGTTAGAATGAGCTTGGGAGAAATGTGAGGGCCTGATTTAAGAAAAGAATGTATCTGAGGCACTAAAGGGCTGACTTTCATTCAATGGGCATAAATGAGTTACAACTTTCTGACCTACACCTGAATAGGCCAAAAAGGGGACATGATTTGGGCATCAGCAAGTTGACATTTTTTTCTGGACATTGTATTAATTAAGTTGGGTTAGGCTATCAGAAACTCAGAAGCCTCAGTCGTATAACTGTGCACAGTTCGTTTTTCACTCCTGCAAAGTCGGCTGTGAATCTGGCAGTGTCGAGGGCAGCTTCCTACAGGTGGTGACTCAGGGATCCAGGCTGTGTCCCTTAGGTAGTCTGGGAGGACAGTGTATTTGCTCTCAATTATTTCAGCTTAGTGACATCACGTGTGATTCTCTCTCACAGACCTTTAGCCAGAGCTAGCTAGACCCAGCAAGGTATGGTTGGGAATTGGGATCAGAGAGAATGCTGAACAGTAAGGTTCTAGGTGCCACAGATTATTCAAAAAGAAGAGTCTAGACGAGACTTGGGACTAGGTACTTGAAGCTCTCTGAGCTGGAGATTGTTAATAGAGTTGGGAATCCATAGTATAAGAGGGGAGGCCTTCATTGCGTTTAGGGTCACTTGGGGAAAGTGTGTTGAGTTCAAAGACCAGGGACCAAAGGTGAAATCTTAGGGAGTACATGTCAGTGGGTGACTTTGGCTGGCCGAGGTACTTAATCTCCCCAATCACCAATTTCCTCATCCATGAGATGAGGGTGATGTCTTCTTTGAAGGGCTGGTGAGAGCACTTGGTGAATAGTGACTTCTAACGCGGTGGCTTCCTTCCCTCCTCCTCGTGTCAGACTGAGCTGTGTGTTCTGTTTATCAGGAACTGTGGTGTACGGCGAGCCCATCACCGCCAGCTTGGGGACCGATGGCTCTCACTACTGGAGCAAGAACTGGGCCAAGGCTGCTGCCTTTGTCACCTCCCCACCCTTGAGCCCTGATCCAACCACTCCAGACTTTCTCAACTCCTTGCTGTCCTGGTGAGTCCTGACGATTGGTTCACACTTGATGTTTTCAGTCTTTTCTCCAACCAAAGAGGCAGATGACAATATGGTGGCTGAGCACAGGCCATAAACACGTAGCCTTCTACAAGCTGGAACTCATATAGACCCTTGTTCACCAGAGTTCACTGCATAGAACAGGGAATTATCACTCTAACATCATCCTGAGAGTGAATTCTAGATAAAAACCTGCACCATTTTAAAACCAACCAAAGAGGATGAGATTCCAAGTGGAGTCTCCCGTGGTTGGCATCATGTCAACCATAAAACACCTCACAAAATAGATTCTGGTACGCAGCATCGTCACAGAGCTTCAGGATTATGTCATCTGTTTTCTTTCCAGTGGAGACCTCCAGGTCACTGGCAGTGCCCACTGTACCTTCAACACTGCCCAGAAGGCTGTAGGAAAAGACAATTTCACCCTGATTCCCGAGGGCACTAACGGCACGGAGGAGCGAATGTCTGTCATCTGGGATAAGGCCGTGGTAAGGAGCAATGGTCTCACTTATGGGTGGGTCATAGCTTTGCCCCACTTCTTTCTCTGAGGGCCGTGTATCTCGTGTAGGCTCTGAAATGACAGTTGAGAACTTTCTACAAGCTGGAACTTACATGGCAATATTTCTTAAGACTTGGAAAGCCAAGATCATTCCTTATAGATTGTTTCTTTCTAAACAGTGCAGATGTATTTCTAGTTATTATTATTTGTAAATTTGCTGAAGGGCAAATGGACTTGAGAGAGAGAGCAAGCAAGCACCCCCAGTGGGGTGTGGTCAGGCTGCAGTCCCATCTGCAAACTTGAGGCCTCCCTGTGTGGGTCATGGCATTGCAGAGTGTTGCCTTTCTGCAGTGCCCCAGGTGGGCTGGCCCCCACCTCTGCTCATTCATCTACTGGATTTAGAATGGGGTGGGAAGGGAAAGACTTGAAGAATTGACTGGCACCTATGGCATACATAGAAAGCCCGATGCAGGACTGACATATCTGGATCTACCGTAGGAGCAGCCTAGGCTTGCACTGTATTCTGTAGAAAAGGACATCCAGGTTGCTGTGTGCGTCCACAGTGTGTTCCTTTCTGTTGCCAGAGTTCCACCCTCTAGCTTTCACCGAGTCTTGCTGTGTTGGTGTGTGCATGCTCACACGTGCGTGTGCTGTCCTCCTCAGGTCACTGGCAAAATGGACGAGAACCAGTTTGTGGCTGTGACCAGCACCAATGCGGCCAAAGTCTTCAACCTTTACCCCCGGAAAGGCCGTATTGCTGTGGGATCCGACGCTGACCTGGTCATCTGGGATCCCGACAGTGTCAAGACCATCTCTGCCAAGACGCACAACAGTGTAAGGCCCGTTAACTGTGTAGACCCGATCCAGGCTAACTACAGTCACAGAGAGGGGCGGAGAAGGGAGAGTCCGGGGTTTCTAAGGAGTGATAAGAACACACCTTTTCCCAGGATAGAACTTGCAGCTTGCTGGGGAATAAAGTAGCTCTTTCATTTTCTTTAGAGGGGTTAAAAAAATTGTTATGCTCCTCATCACGTTGGAGTGCCATGGCCTCTCTGTCCATATACCTCAGGGCCTCCACTGCAATGCCAGGACATTAGATGTTTCTAGAAGTCAGGCTGCATTCCATTTTCATAGTTTAGTGCAGTATGTCTCATGACCGTGCTTGGTGCTAGGGACCTAAAGAAAACAGTCAGATGTCCTTTGGGCATTTTCTGTAGGTTGTGGGTAGTCTCGCACTTCCATCTAGGCTGCAGATCTTGGGGATGCCTTGTCCTGTTGATTCTGCTCTTGGAAGGTACTTAACTGTCTTTGGCTCCTCAGCTGAGGATGAGAGGCCAGCCAAGGTCTTGGAGTGTCCCATGATTCTGTGAGGTTAGTGGGAAGAGATATTAGATACCACCAATTTCTCATACTCAAAATTGTGTGTATATAATATTCGAGGAACATGGACCAGGGGAGAGCTTTTGAAAATAAATGAGCTTTCGACAAAAGTGTTTTATTTCAGGAACTCATTTGAATCTTTTTTTTTTTTTTTAAGTTTTATTCTTTTTTTTGTTGTTGTTATTATTATTATTATTATTATTTAATTTGGACAGAAAAAGACAGAGAGAAAGGGAAAGTGAGAAAGCAAGCAGCCAGGTCTGGAACTTGAACCACCGTAGGCCATGTGGGAGTGCAGCACTTCAACCACTGCGCCACCTGCTGGCCCCTGGAGCTTTTCTTTTTTCTTTATTGAGAGGTTTTTGCTATAGGGCGCATGCGCTCACCAGAAAGACAGAGAGACAGAAAGCAAGAAATCACCCCCCAGGGGCGATGACCACACCACAATCCCTTCTCCTCCATTCTCCTCTCGGGATCTTGGGCACGCACGCACACGTGCCCAGCGTGAGTTTAAGCCACTGGGTCCAGGACTTGAACTGTGGCTGACTACATGGGAGTCCAGCGACATAGCCATTATGCAAACTGCTGGTCCCAATCTTTTCTTTTTTTCAAGTTTGTTTTTTTCTTCCATGAGTGAGAGACAGAGAGAGAGAGAGAGAGAGAGAGAGAGAGAATTCTTAATCAAGTCTTCCCAACATGATCCACCCTCAGCCCCAGCCAGCTCTGGATCATGGGCTCATATGCCACCAGTGTGCTCAGGGAGGTCTCTGAATGCGAACTTGGAACCGCCCCATGTGGGTCAGTCTTGCAGGCATCATGTTACTCTGGTGCCACCGTCTAGTTCTTGAGTCTGAAGTGACTTCTTAATAAAGTGGAATTCTAGATGAAGTCCTAGATTGAAAGCTGGCTCCATAGGGAATGTGATTCTGGGCTGTTCACCACAGACGGCTGGACTGTCAAGTACTGCACCTTCCCCAAGCACCACGACAGCCAGGGGTGGGGGTCTGGTGTTTCTCCAGCACCACCATGGGCCCTTTGCCCTATCCCAGTTCTCTCTCCGTACAGAGACACCTGTGGGTGCATTCGGAAGGGCCGCTCAGCTCTGTGTTTACAGACAATTTTTTCCCCTCCTTCCCACTGGCTGGCCAGCCTGGCACCATAGTCCTGCAGTCATACTGCCTTGACTGCTCAGATCACATCCTCTCGAGGGTCCAGAACATCTTTATTCAGGGCAGTTTTAGGGCCCTGTCCGGTGAACCTATCTATTTATATGCCTTTAACATCCCATTCTCATTTTCTCTTTCATTTGACCTTCTCAATAAAGGGACTGGTATTATTATCCCAATTGGGAAGATAAATAAACAGAGGCTTAGAGAGCTTAAGTGACCAGTCTAATGTTACATAGCGATTTTGTGGTACAGCCAGAATTAGAACCCAAAATTGCTCAGAGCTCTTCCCTGCCAGCCTGTGAACACAGACTGCGAAGGCAACCTCTTGGTCAGGGTTTTTTGGAGAGAACGCTTTCCTTTCTTGCAGTAACTCTTCCCCCAGTGGTAATAAAAAAGGGCAGATTGGGCTCATTATTTAAGATGCAGAGACCCGGCCCAAAAGCTGCACTTGGAACTCTTAACCTGGAAGAATTGAGAGTGTCGCAGCGTGAAGATTCAGGAAGGAAGACAGATTCTGCCCTCTAGACCTTTCCACCAAACCCTTCTAGAGTATGAGCACTGTCCTGCCTTTACCTCCAGGTGACCTCAGTACGAAAGGTTGGTTTCAAAGTGCCTCTTTTCCACTCTCCCCTACTCTAAAGAGCCAACACTAAGCATGTCTGTGCAGCGTACATTGTCTGGGAAAATAAATAGGAGGCTTCCCCGAGGAGCATGGTGTTTTCTACCACCAAGCTAATTGGGTTTCATGGGAAGCACCTAGCTTAGTATTATTGTCAGCCTGGTTGCCAACTTTCTGCTTGGATTTTCCAGGCATCCAGCCAGGTGAGTAATTTTAGGGAGTCTACGTAGAGGTAGTTTGAAAAGGTCTATACCTGGCAAGCAACGAAGCCGTCCTGCCTCAGAGTATGAAGAGGAGAGCTTTGAGTCTCCTGAGCTATGATCTGATCCGTGGACTTGTCAGTGTTAAGTCACAGAGTCATGAGGCTGGTTTTATTTTTATTTTTTATTTTATTTTTTGCCATTTTAAAAAACTGAGATCTGTCCCAAGAACCCTTCTAAAGGCTCATTTATTGGAAGTGGCCACCCACGATATGCATTCTGTGATGTCTCAGACACCGAGGGCTTACAATCTTGTTGGCAAAGGATAATAAGAAGCCAGACAGTGAATGAGTAAGCATTTCTTAATGTCTGTTGTGTGCCAGGTCGCATGCTGTTGGACCATTTTAAAAAACTGAGATCTGTCCCAAGAACCCTTCTAAAGGCTCATTTATTGGAAGTGGCCACCCACGATATGCATTCTGTGATGTCTCAGACACCGAGGGCTTACAATCTTGTTGGCAAAGGATAATAAGAAGCCAGACAGTGAACGAGTAAGCATTTCTTAATGTCTGTTGTGTGCCAGGTCGCATTCTGTTGGATTGTCGGAAAAGTTACGATGCGTTTTTGCATAGAAAACCATAAAAATACGTCATGGCTTTTCTGACAACCTAATTGATGCTGTCATGCATGTTATTTTTATTCGCTTCTGGTAGTGGTTCTGCAAAGTGGGCTCTACTTACTCTCTTAGAGATGAGGAAGCTGAAGCTCAGAGGAGTGTAAGGGACTTGTCCAAGGTCACCCAGCTGGGATATGAACAGACGGCCGTGTAGAGTAAAGTGGAAGAGGTGGGCTTGATCCTGGCTTTAAAGGATGACTCCCACGTAAATAATAAGACAGGCACGTCAAGATCATTTCTGACTTGACAAGATTCTCTGACAGTGGTTTGCACATGGATTGTGCTTTTTGTATTTCCATTCTCTAGATGGAGAAATTGAAGCTCTGAGGTAGGAGTAACGTGATCTCTCCGGACACACCACCTCTGGATTTTACCGTGTCTGAGGTGCCATTGATTTATTCAGTTAGTGAATCACGAAGAAAATGCACCCATATGTTATTGTAGAAGACGCTTATACTGCTGGGCTATCCAAGGCTAGCATGTGTTTTATAGAGGATCATCGAGGAATGAATCTATCTTGCACGCAGGGGTGGCAAGAAATCTTGCATGTCTCGACTTTGGCATTGGGGGTCAGAAGAGAAATACGTCTCTCCTGAGCATCTGAACTGCAAGCTGGTACTGGTGCAGGTTTGTGGTCTGAATTCCTGCCGTCTGCGTGGTCCTGAGCAACCTCCAGCTGAGAGTGAATGTGAAATGCTCTCAGCTTGGTCCCTCAGGCCAATGGCAAGAGTAAGCCCGGATCTCCCCATAGGGCTCGACTTCAGGCCAGTCTGACAGAACTCTGCACAGCTCCATCTGTTGTAAGAAATCCTGATTTCAGGCTTGAATGTCTCAGAAGCAATGAGAGATAGTCACTAGACTTGAGGACCCTCTCTGAGTCTTGGCAGTCCGTGCATAGAGTTGCCAGCCTCCCTGCAAGGTGCCTTTCTAGAGGTACTTGGGTAGCTTCCCCATCAGGTAGAGCAGGGCGGATTGCACTGGACTTGGTGTCACAGTCATTGCTCCATTCAGATGCACGCTGGGGGGCCTGGTCGGGCTCCTCCATGCTCCTCCACGCTCACCAGCCCCTGCACTAGGAGAAATGGTAGCCTGAGCTATAGGCCTCTAATTCAGTGGGTGTACCTCGAGTGCTGAGGACTCTGGTTGAATTTTCCTGGAAGCCAAAGCTGCTTTTTATGGTTGGAGCCGCCTGTTAATCCTCCAGTTCTGGGCTCAACCACAACCATCTGTGCCTGGGAGCAGGGTGGGTAGGAAGAAGGAAGAGGCATCCAAGTTCTAGGATATAGCATTGGGTGAGCCGGAGCTACAGGGTAAGACTCTGACCTGGAGATTGTTCTCCCCTCCCCCACCGATCCCTCCCCTGCTCTTCCCTCCCTTCTCCTCTCTTCCTCTTCTCTTTTTCTTTTCTCTCTCCTCTCCTCCTCTCCTCCTCTCCTCCTCCCCTCCTCCCCTCCTCCCCTCCTCTCCTCCTCCCCTCCTCGTGAGAAATCACCCCTAGGGGGGGTTGGCCATGCTGCAATCCCTTTTCCTCTGTTTTCCTTTTGGGATTTGGGGCACATGTGCCTGGTGTGATTTTCAAGCTGCCTGGTCCTGGACTCAAACCTCAGAGCCAACCATGCAGGATCCAGTGCCTTAACCTCCATGCCACCTGCTGGTCTAACACATGGAGATCTTAATGTCAGAATACAATGCCCTGTGTTTTCTGTGGCCTCATTCCCAACAATAAACTCTCACACATACACAGAAACCTCACCTATTTTCCAGTAGAGCACACTAATACGTGTCTGTAGCACCCTGAAATACTTGAAACTCAAAGGAGAGCACATCTTTTGGAAAATGAACCAAACCCCCCACATTTTATCAAAGGCATGTCTCTTAAGTTACCACACTCCTTTCATTTAGGGACTCTGGTTAAACCACACTGCTAACAGGTTTTCCAGTGGGAAGATTCCATTTAGAACTTGGACAGAGAAGATTTCAAGATTCAATTTAGAACTTGGACAGAGAAGGCCTTTGGAATTCAACCTGAGTGGAGCTTGGGCTGTAGGAACAAAGTCACTACTAACTTCCAAATTTGGAGAGGGGCAGAAATATTAGTCCCTCGGGAGATTAAGACACAGAGATCTCGGGGTGGCCAGTCGGGTCAGCGACCCCATACTCTCTTGTCCTGTGGTGTTGGGACAGAGGGTGCAGACTGATTGGGGCCAGCCGAGGGTCCTGGCCTGGTCTCAAGTTCACTGTGCTGTCTCTTGCAGGCTCTTGAGTACAACATCTTCGAAGGCATGGAGTGCCGTGGCTCCCCACTGGTGGTTATCAGCCAGGGGAAGATCGTCCTGGAGGATGGCACCCTTCATGTCACCGAGGGCTCTGGGCGCTACGTCCCCCGGAAGCCCTTCCCTGACTTTGTTTACAAGCGTATCAAGGCAAGGAGCAGGGTGAGTGGTTTGTTCTTTGTCGTGGATTGAGTTCAATTCCACACATATTTCTGAAGCACTCGGAGTCAGAATATTGAGGTAAGTATGAAGGATGACAGAGATGTGGGGAATTTAGAACACGGGGCGGGGAGGGGGGGGATTCAGGCTTGTGCGCACCCAGAGCAGGGCGAGCCTGGGCTGTGTGCCATGATGAGTGAGGGGTGAAGGCCCGAAGGAGGGAACTGCTGTGGCTGCAGAGTCATGAGGGGAGTGAGTATTATGGGGGAGGGCACTTAGAGTTGAGTTTTGAAGGTTAAGTAAAAGTTGGTCAAAGCAAAGAAGGGAGATTAAAGAACTAGGTAGAGAGACTATCATGAGGATGGAAAATGTTCTGTGTACTGAGGGAGCAGTGAGTAGCACTGGGGACGATTAGGCAGAAGGGGATGGATCTGTGAGATGATTAAAGGGAGAAAGTGTGGAACCAGGAACATGACACCTGGTCCTGCTCACAGCACGTGAAGGGGTTTTTCCAAGGTTTAAACTTGAAGTCCCTTGGGGGAAAATGGTAAGAAGTATTCTTTTTTGTCTAGTAACCAGTTATGAGTCGTCCATGTTGTAGGGGGCTTTGGTCTGGAGCTGTGGTGCTTGCCCCACACTAACACCTGTCCCCACGGTACCCATCTGTAAGGAGAGCCCTCCATCCCCAAATCTCACACTTCTTCATCAGGAGGTTGCTAGGGAGCTGTCCTTTGGGAAGAAGGCCTGATTGAGGGGCTCTTGTGTTTTGCAGCTGGCGGAGCTGAGAGGGGTTCCCCGTGGCCTTTATGATGGACCGGTGTGTGAGGTATCTGTGACGCCCAAGACGGTCACTCCCGCCTCCTCTGCTAAGACGTCTCCTGCCAAGCAGCAGGCCCCACCTGTTCGGAACCTGCACCAGTCTGGGTTCAGCTTGTCTGGTATGGTCATGGCTTGGTTAGGGCCTGGGACTGGCAAGTCTGCAGTTGCATCTGAATCGGGGTTGAAAATGGGCATGCATGACATTTC